ATGAGGTTCACTAAAACCAAGGCACAAAAGAATTACTTGCACAGATCAAGTTAGTATTGACAACAGAGTTCAATATATTTTTATTAGGAAGAAAAAAAAAATAAAGAACAAGGTTGGAAAATGTCCCCACATTTTAAAGATAATATCCACATGATACTTTAGATCATGAAGTTTTAAACCAGCTTGGCAATGAGATTTTTCTACAGGTTTTCTACAAATACACTATATGTATGATTTTGTTAGGATGGAAGAGAAATAAAGAAAGTTAGAAAAATCCCTTTCTTTTACAACTTCTCTGAAAACCTCCTACAAAAGCTATAGTAGGATATCAAATCTATAAAGACAGGAAAAAAAAAGATAAAATATTCTTAAGTTGCTTTATGAAAAATATATTGATAAAGCAACATAATTTATAATAACATTTCCAATGTTATGAATTTGCATTGCCTTTGCATTCTTCCTATTTAATCACTTACTATTTCCAATGTAAACAGACGTAATGCCTGTCTAAAATTGATACAAATTTAAAACATTAAAGATCCATTAAAATTTACTTCAAAATTATTTTGGAATGGTGGAAATTACAGAGAAAATAAGACTGGCCAATTGTTGCTAATTCCTGAAGACGGGCACTGAGTTCATGGGAGGTTCGAAAGTCTCCTCTCTGCATGTATTTATGTTTGAAAGTTGTCCACAATAAAAAGTTTTTAAAAACTGGAAAATAAGTTCATTAAAACAAAATGTGTTTCATGAAAACACAAAAAGAATCATGTATGGAACAGTGCATTTGTTTTTAAAACTTCAAACATGATGATAATTATATTGAAAATAGTACAAGAACAACTTAAAAGCATACACAAAATACATAACATTTAGACTAATATTCACCTTTCTTGCTAAATTTTCACTTGAAAAAAGTGGTTTTTACACATGTGGAATTAAAAGAATCACACAGCACAGTACAAAGAAAAATGTAACATTTTTATACTGAAACCTTAAAAAGTGAAACACACCAGAAAGACTCCTAAGAGTGTCTAAACCTGTAGGTTCAGAATTAAATAGAGAGGTGTCGAATGACAGTACTGCCTTGTCTCTTTGAAATCTAGCCACACTTACAGCAATAAAGATAAAAGGTTTAATCTCACATCACATACTAAATGCATATAAAACCTCACTAGTAAACTATACTCTTGATCTAGTTTTCACATCTAAAATTCTTATGACTCTTTCTAGGGAGGGTTTCTTTAAAAGTAAAGCATTTTTACTAGTCATTTTCTTCTCCTTAAACATAAAAAATACTTCAACCAGCCCAACCAGCCAAGCAGGCCTTTCTCTTCCCCTGCGGACACCTCCTGCAGTAGAGAAGTTCATTAAGTTTTATGATCTTCCCAAGTCAGTCCTGCTTATAAGCCTCACAAAGGCTACAAATCTGGCAAACCATCATGTATGCCATTAGACATTACTAGTAAATGAACGCTATTTAGGGTTTGTGGTGGCAATAAATCAGAGTTTGGTTGGCAGCCATCAACATAGAGTATTTTAACCTATAGTTTAAAAAGGAAAAGGTTGTGTTGACTTTTTTCATGCATAACATTTGTCACAATACTATGATTCACATTATCTACTAAAATATATTAGATTTCATTTAAAAATAAATATTTTTTATTGAAAAAGAACTATTTCCTTCACTTAAAATCTCATAATTAAGGGATTTGGAAAGAACGAAGATTTTTGAGGATGAAATATTTCACAAAGGAAAGCACTTCAACAATTAAGATTTATAAGGTGATCAAAAAAAGGTGCAGGAAAACACCAAGAGATATGCAAGTGAACAGACCCTGTGGCATCAGGGAATATTTAATAAGAGACAGATGATAAAACATGGCTTTAAAAATCAGGAAAATATCTTAACATATTAACAATAATCTCACTGGTTACTTAGCTTAAAATAAACAACTATCTTGATTTTAAAGCCTACAACTTTTCAGTTGCTCTCAAAATGCACAAGTATCACAATTCAACGAGAGCCATTTCTGCCCAAAAATAATGGTATAAATTTTACGAAAGAATACATTCTCAAGAAAAAGCAGCATCTTATAGTAAAAGTATACTTTCCTTACCTCTCGACAAGAAAATAATATAATTGTAGTAGATGACCCATTTATCTGTCAGAAGGGAAAAATATCTTTTCATATCTGGTGGGGTGGGGGGAATAGGTGTTTTCTAAACTAAATCCCCCATGTGCATCAGAACTGGCAGTGTTCACTGCCTGATCAGAAACCTCAAAATCTACTGGCAGATCTACAAATAAACAGATTTTTTTTAAATGATTTTCTTATTTTAGAAGAAAAGCACAACTGAAATGACATTATCCACTGAAGTGACAGTTTACCCTCAAGCCCCCATTATGCAGAATAGAGTCATCAACATAATGTTCCTGATTTCTATTCATAAATGACTAGGTAAACTTTCTCTAGATTATAAAGAATTAATCTGCAGGTATTATTAGATTAAATAAAATAATTTTTAAAAAAACATTGATGCAATATCCAACTATTCTACAATGTTTCTTTTGTAAGTTCATGTTTCTGAAGCTTAACTATGGCAGGAGGGGGTTGGGGGCTTGGAATTTGCTGCCCTGCTTCTTTGCTTTGGTAACACTAATGTCTGCACAGCTGTTGTATTTCAAAATGAGGATTCTGAATCCCTGTCTCATTCTAAAACTAGTTTTGGAGGGTAAGGTGAAGCTATGAGTAGTAGGGGAGAAAGGAGAGGAGAGAAAAAGCTTCACCCCTATCAATCACTCAGTACTTAAATCCCATTCCTCCCGAGCTTAGAGAGGCTGGCAGGAAGATGTCTCTGCCCAGACAGCCGCCTTTACTCTTTGTCGGCTGTTGGCTTTTTACAAAAGAGATAACATGCAAACGTGGATCCAATGGCCAAAGCACAAAAAGAGGATCTAATTTACAAGTTATCACTGAAAGCCCCAGAAACAATTTTAAAACACAAAAATTTCTTTTGTCAGCTGCCTCTTGCTTTTTAAATAGCAATAGCCCTATCAAAGCTCTCCCTGCCAGTAATCCCAGACTCTGAAAAGACTTCTTTCTTGTAACTCACCTTTGACATGCGGTTGACTATACTTTCCTTTCAGAATAGTATAACTAAGTCTTGTGCAAATAAGTAACTAAAGGATCTATGTTTTCTAATTGAATTCTGCCTGCTGCTAAATGTCTCAACATGAAAAGGAGTTTGCTGGGTTTAGTTCTCAAGCTAGCTAGGCCAAAACTTTAAAAAGCCAAAAATAAATAAATATATATAAATCATGAGAAGGGGATGAGAAGCAGTAAGTATCCATCCCTTCTCCCTTGTAACATAAGGCTATATAAAGTTAAATCAATCTTAATATTCACAACATAGTCAATACCCCCATGCTTAGCTGTCAGCAGAAACTGAAGTGGAGCCCTGATAGCAGGAAAACCCTTGGACATTAAGCTACAGAATTTACTGAGAAGTGCACACGTTTAAGCTTCTAAACTAAGAATCTTGAAGACTTAATGCTGGATGTCTTATTTTACAGTCAGACAAAAATTATCTACTGCTTTAAATCACAATGCTTTCTAAAGGTTAAAAATTAGCACAAAATAAAAGTTAGTAATTCAAAAAAGGATCACTGTGCATTACGAAACCAGCCATAATATGCGAATGAAAAGCAGGAAAAGTACTCTTTAGGCTCCCTTACTATTTACTGTTTATTATGGTTTACCATATATGTTTAACAGACAGCAGTAACTTATCATCTTTTCTTGATTACTTTTAGGATCCAAATAGTACTGAAAAGCGAAAAATCTGTTTCAAAGAAGGCTGACTCACTTATCATCCTAACAATTATTTGCACTGTGCTATTTGTACACTCAATTTAAACACAATCACATTTAACCTTTTAAATAGCATCCCTTGGATACTGCTAAATCCTGGACTTCAACTTTTTCTCCTTTGCCTCAACTTTCGAAACGGCAACTTTAAAATACCATATATTCAACACACACAAAAAAAAAAAAAGAAAGAAAAGAACAGGAAAAAAATCAACAGTAGAGCTTGTTTAATGTACTTGTTTGCCACATACAGGGAAGATAATACCAATACAAACTAAAACATCCAAATTAAATCTCTACTTCAATTTGAGCAGTTACTTCACTTCAAGACTATAAGACCCTCAATCAAGAAAGTCTGACACGAAAGTTAAATTGAAACGAATTGCCAAAAATTTGCCTAATATGTACCTGTAGTTTCCATTCCAGCACTTCTGCAAAACCTATCTTCTTATATATTCCCTGATTTGGACACTTCAAAATTGTTTAACCTGCCATCTGTAGACCTGTATAGACTTTACATATTAAAAGCACAGTTACAAGTGTAACGACTTCAGGATACAAAATAATAAAAGTATTAAGAGGTGTAATACATTGTATATGTCTACACATCATTACCCTTCCTCGATTCTCTAAAGTAGTCTTCCCACCTAAAACACTTATTCAAGCATGCTACCGGGGTCTGTTCAATTGCATCTATTCCTCTATCGGTGCAGCTGAAGCTTAAGACTAAGTAAAACAAAGTTCGGGCGATGCTTCTCCCGGGGACTCGGTCGTGGCATCCAGTCTCCAGTTGCTCCTTTTAAAAACTGACACACAAACAAGGCGAAAGGATAGGAGAGAGGGCGGCCGGCGCTCCGGACCCCTCCCCGCCAGCAGCCTGGGGCGGCCGCCTAGGAACAGCAACCCAGCCCCGTCCGTACCTACACTTCATTTTACACCAGGAGCAGAACTGAGAAATCGACTCCAGATTTATTGCAGTTTTTTTTTTCAAGATCAGGACGTGGGAAGGAGAGAATGATCAAAGATGGCGGTGCCCAAAAGCAGCAGCTCTCAACTGGAGAGTCGAAGGAGTAGCTCCGACCCCCACCTCGGGGGTCTCCAGGCCCACTGCGGGGCGCAGCGTCTTACCTGTTTTCTCTTTGATCTCACACAGGACGCTGAAGAGCGCGGGTTTCATTCTATGACAGTTCAGGGCATGTTTCCTAAAAAACAAATAACAAAACACAAAGGTATTAGCATCACCTATGGAATAATATGGCGCCTTCCTTTAAGTTAGACCCAAGAATTAATTCCGGCCCCCCATTCTGGAAGGCCCTTTTGAACCCTGGGAAGTCCACAAAAACTCCAACTGACTAGTTCCCGGCAGCCAGCAAGTCCCGGCGGCTAAAGCTGCAGCCAGAACGAGGCGGACACATCTGCCCGGCAGGCAGCAGCCTCGGCCACGGCAGACGCGAACCCACTCGGGGAGCGTCGCCGCGGGGGCTGGCAGAGGGGAACCAGGGGAGCGGACGGGTGGGGAGGCGGCTCCCGCGACGGCTGCTGCACAGGGGGAGCGGGCGCGCGCCGCGGCCGGCCGGCCGACTGCGGCCAGCGGGCGGGTGACAGCTCGGCAAAGTTTGCCAGGCGGCCCTCCCTTCCCGAGAACTTGGCCGTCCGCACCCGGACCCGCCAGGGAACCGCCCATCGCCCCGCGCCGGGCCGGGAGGCCCGCCTGCATGGCGAGGTCGTCCCGCGGCCACGGGGAGTCGGCTCCGGGACTCCCGGCGGGAGGAGAAAGTTGCCGTTCCCGGTGGCGCGGCCCGCACGGGGGTCCGGAGCGGAGGTTTGAATCCGTGGGAGGGGGCCGGGCTGCGAGGGGCAGGACCGGGGAAAGGACGCCCCGGAATCCGCGCCGCGCCGGGTCCGTCCCGAGCCCCCCAGAGCAACTTGGCCGGCTCCCGCCCGCTTCGGGGGGCGCGGGCAAGTCCCCCTCGAGGCCGGGGCGGGCGGCCGGCTTTCAGAGAAAGTTCCCCGACGGGGGCTGCGGCCCCGGGCGCCACCCCCGGCCCCGACTCGGCCGCGGCGCGGCTCCAGCACACACACAAAAGATGCTTAATGAGACGACACCAACTTTGCTTGCGCCTCGTCCAAGCTCTGGTCGGTGATGGTCATGATCTGGTGAAGGATGTCGCCGATGTCCTGCTTCCTGCCGTCGCCGTCCGCCCCTTCGTGGCCGTGCGGGGGAGGCGGCAGGGCCATGCCCCCCTGCACCGAGTGGCCGGCCAGGTTCACCCCGGCCAGAGTCTGCAGCATCCTGGATTGATCGTCCATCCCGCCGCGCGCGGGCGGGAGCGGGCGGCGGCTGAGGAGAAGGCTGAGGCGGCGGCGGCGGCGGCGGCGGCGGCGGCGAGGGAGGAGAAGAAAGAGGGGGAGGGGGAGGGGGAGGCGGCCGCGCGCTCCCCGCCCGCGCGGGGAGGAGGCGGCCCGGCCAGCAGGGCCCGCGGCTGAGGCGATGCGGACCGGCGCCCGGCTCCGGCTTCCGCCGCCCCCGAGGCTGAGGAGAAGCGGCGGGCGGAAGCGCCGGGCTCCGCGGCGGTGGCAGAGGCGGAGGCGGCGGCGCCCGCTGCCCTCACGCGGCCGCCGCGCCGCCTCCTCGCCGCCGCGCGCCCCACCGGGCGGCCCCGCGCAACTTGCTCCTCAGCGCCGGCGGAGTTGCCGGGACGCCCGCCGCCTCCCGCGCCGGCCTGCGCCCTGCCCTCCTTGCCCGCCGCCGCCGCCTCGGCCGGGCGGGATCCGAGCCCCGGCGGCCCCGGGGGAGGCAGCGGCGGCGGCGGGCGGCGGCGGCGGAGGAGGAGGCCTGCGGGCGGGCCGCGGGGAGCGAGGGGGCCGGAGGAGGAAAGTTTGGGAGCGGGCGGGCGGAGGCGGCGGGGGCGCGGAGCCCGGAGGAGGGCCCCGGCGGGCCACGCGTCGAGTGGACAGCGGATGGAAGGGGCGGGAGAAGTCGCCGCCGCCGCCGCCGGAGCCCCGCACCCAGCCAGCAGCCGCCGCGGACCAGGCTGGAAGGCCGCTGGGCCGAGGGATTGACAGGCTGCCAGTGCCACTCACTCACTGCGGCCCCGCGCCGGGGGGAGGGGCGGGGGCCGGCGAGGGCGGGGGAGCGCTCCTCAGGCCCCGCCCCCGGGGCGGCGCGCGCGCTCATTGGGCCCTGCGCCTCCCGCCGCCGCCGCCGGCACCGCCCCCGGGGCCCGGCCAGTCCCCTCTGGCCTCTGTTGCCCCGCGCTCCGGGGTGCGCCGCCTGATTCTCGCTCCAGCCTCGTCGCGTCCTCGCCGCCGGAGATGGACCTGGCCGGCCTACAAACGCTGCGCCCGCACCCCAACGCCTACTCCCTGCTGTTGGCAGTCATGGGCGCCGGGGCTTGTGTATGGGACAGAGGACAACTTACTCCAAAGCCAACTGTGTACTCCCCCGCCGCACTTGTGAGCTTCACGCCTCGGACAGCGCCTGGTGCACTTTCCCGCTCTCCCGTCAGGAGGTGTTGCCCTCTGGGTACCGGGCCGCTCGTCCCGGGCCAATAGCAAAGCCCTCGGAGCCGAACGGGGCGGGACAGAGGCAAGAAAGGTTGTCCCAATTGGAGCGTTCGAAAGGTCTTGGGCAGAGGCGGGGAAGCGGCGATTGGGGGCCCCGCCCCACCCGCGGTCGCCATGGTAACCGAGAGGGCGCCGCTCAATGTTGGCGCCAGTACCCGGACCTTGCGCTGTCCCTCAAGGGGTGACCAGTTAAGGTGGGAGCCCCTGGTCCCGCGTGCTTGAGGTCTGAGCTGAGCGGACCTGAGTGCCATAGACTCCCTTGAAAGAGGAAATGTGTCACAGGGAAGCGAGTCTGGGAGAAGGGAAAATGCCTGCAGTCCAGGACTAATTTCAAGGTTTACAACACTTTACACACTCTGCAACTCCTGGTAATCCAGGGACTACTCCTTTGGCAGCGTTTGCTATTCGATGCCTCCAGACGAACTGAAGCTGCAAAAACGAGCTCTTCATTACAACGATATGTTTTTTAGGAAGAGATAGGATTTCACTTGTCAACTGACCCCGTCACCATGAGTCATTTAATGTTGGTGAATCCAGCCACGATTTTTCGTATCTATAACACCTCTTCTTCCATTGTATTCTGTCTACAAATAACTGAAGGCTCACATTATTTTGGCATATGGACCTCGCCTCTTGTGGAGACTTGAGATTGCTCTTAAGCTGATTTCCCAAACGGGCTTCAACGTGTGTTCCCCATTTTAGATTCATGGAGCTCAAAATGAGTCCTTTGGTTCCGTGGTTCAGAACAGTCTCCTTGTTCATTCCCCAAACTCAGTAAGCTGTCTTACCTGAAACCAAAAATAGGGGTATGAGGATATGAAAAATGGCTCTTACTCTGCAGGGTTTAATGTAGGACAAGCAGTTCTTTAAATGCCAGATGGATTCTTGGAATGAAGCAGGCTACTCGGTTCCAGGTTCTTTCCTTCATATGTTGTGTGTACTTTTAAATACTCCCCACTGCAAAGCTAATAGCTAAGCTTACAGTTAGGCAAGCTAAAATCCTTACAAACTGCACAGCTGCTGAGGAGGGAGTTCCAAAAAATCCACTCTGCTTACTTACCTCCAAAGAAGGACCCCCTTCATGTTCATTAATATTCCCTGCTCTTCTATAGCCCATTGATGTGTCAAGTTTCCAATTCTTCTTTCAAGCCCCCATTATGGGTTACTCATAGTCGTCACTGATTGGGTTTTTTCTTTATTCTTAATTTGCTTTTCAAAGCTGTCACCAAATCCTTAGGCATTTTTTCCAAAAGGAGCAAGAGCAAGCGGTCAACCTTTCATAATTCTCCAACGCTGAAGATGCAAAACCACAGAATTCTAACTGAAAGATGCATTAAACTCTAAGATTCCGTCCAGCTCTAAAATTCAGTGATCCTGTGACTCATTACTAGGACTCCTCTCTGCCCTCCTAGGCTCATAATCTTAACTAATCAGTCATGAGGATGAGGCTAATTAGCAATGGGGAATTTTTGTCATTTCTATCTGACTCCAAACAATGAGTTATGTAAGCAAAGCAAGATATATAAAAACATAAATAGGCCAGACACCATGGCTCACACCTGTAATCCCAGCACTTTTGGAGGCCTAGGAGGGTGGATCATGAGGTCAGGAGTTTGAGACTAGCCTGGCCAACATGGTGAAACCCCATCTCTACTAAAAAATACACACACACAAAAATAGCTGGGCTTAGTGGTGGCGCCTGTAATTCCAGCTATTCGGGAGGCTGAGGCAGGAGAATCACTTGAACCCCAGAGTCCAAGGTTGCAGTGAGCTGAGATCACACCACTGCCCTCCAGCCTGAGCGACAGCAAGACTCCACCTCAAAAAAAAAGGAAAAAAAAGTAAATAAAATTAAATAAACATTTAAATAAAGGCAATTGGGAACTATGGAGTATGTAAACAAACTAGAACTTAAAAACATAAATTAGAATTAAGAAAACAATTAAGCAAATGCCAGCAATTAGGAATAAAACAACTTGCTAAATGTCCAACACCCACAGTTATTTTATGGTACACACCTCTAAACCCATGGTCATTCAGTGATGTGGAAACTTCATACCATAATTCTGCCTCAATTGATTGAACTAGATTGACTTTCTGTTTGGGAGGCTTTTTGTTGCTAGCAGTATGAGTTTCAGTAGAAGCCTGAGGACCCTAGTAAGGATTCCTTCACGGGCTCATTGACAACCACCGTTGATTTAAAGCATAACTTTCTTTAGATTGGTTTTCAAGCCCTAATAAACTGTCAACTAATTGCAGATGTTCCAAGATCTCTTGTGCTTGTGCCAGTGTCTCATGTAGAATATTGCCTGATCTCTGCTCAACAGTTTGAGTCACAAGGTTGGTGCCTTCGCAGATGATAGAATAGAAGCTCCCTGAGTACCTGAGTCCATCTTTGCTGTTTCTAACGTAAAGATTATTAAAATGTCAAGGGAAATGAAACTGACTTTTGGTGAGCAGACATTCATGTCAACTTAACAGTGACAAAATGGTGAAAACCAAGTAGGTGTTTCTTCCTGGCCATCCCTTTCCATGAGTTTCTATTAACATCACCATTGCCCCTGTCACTGATATGGTGGTTATCACAGTAGATGCCATTAATGAGCGCTTTCTTTGGGGGTACACTATGATCTGTGTCCCCTTGCTTCATCTTATTACAGTCTCACAACAGCCTGGTTGGGATTGTTATTAAATAAAAAATAGAATGAGAGAAAGTAAGAAATTTCCACAAGACCACAAAGCCAGTTAAGCACTAGAGCTTGAATTCAAATATTGATCTATGCGGCTGCAAAGACTACCATATAAAACACTGTGCAAAAAGGTAATTTAGCCAGGTTGATGGCATGCAACTGTAGTACTAGCTACTTTGGAGGCAGAGACAGAAGAATTGCTTGAGTGCAGTAGTTTGAGGCAGCAGTGTGCAATGATCACACTTGTGAATAGCCACTGCACTCCTGCCTGAGCAATTTTTCTCCTAAAATTTTTTTAAAGTTATTTAATTAAGATTACAAAGTAAAAATCACAAGACCTTAACAAATAAACTGAGAATTAATGAAAATAAGTAACTAAGTGCTTAATAAAGAGAGAATAAACAGCTATATTAGAGTAATCCGGGTCTCAAGGCAGGGGAGGAGGGAGATTAAGGACAGCCAGACTATCCTTCACAGCCACATTGGGCCCCACCTCTCTGAAGCTCTTCTGTGATGCCTGCCTTCTCTGATCTTTGTCTGCTCTAAACTCCCTCAGAAGGTTGCCGTGAGATCAGGTTATTGCACTCCAGCCTGGGTGACAGAGTGAGACTCTGTCTCATAAATAAATAAACTCCCACAGAATATGTCGCCTGTAATACATAACCTACCACCATACTAAACAGTCTTGCGCTGTTTGCTCTCCATCCACCTCTGTTAGTTTCCTCATCTAGGCCATAAACATGTCAACGGCAAGGTGTTGTAAGATGTGACTATAATATGACAGATTTGATTTTTTTTTTTTAATCATAGACATCTAGGAAAGGGTAATACTCTCCAACTTGTCACTTTGGGGAAGTTGACTAAATGCTTATTCTCGAAATGTAGCATTGCTTCATTGCTTTAGGAATGACTGATTACTTGTTTATTTGTTTGTTTCTCTAGGGAGTGGGTCTTGCTCTGTCACCCAGGCTGGAGTGCAGTGACGCAATCATCACTCACTATCACTTTGAACTCCTGGGCAATCCTTCTGCCTCAGGCTCCTGAATAGCTGAGACTGCAGGTGCACACCACTACACCCAGCTAATTTTTTGTATTTTTTTGTACAGATGAGGTCTCACTATGTTGCTCAGGCTGGGTTCAAACTCCTGACCTCAAGGGATTGTCCCACCTCAGCCTCACAAAGTGCTGGAACTACAGGCATGAGCCACTGCACCTGGACAGAAATAACTCTTTAGAACTGGTTTTTACAGTTGATAGCACATGTGACATATGATCAATGTTTATCTCCTAAGGATGGATTTGATTGAGTAACCAAAGATTCAGTGGGATGACTCCATCCTTCTACAATAATGCCTTCAAATGAGAATGTTTATCAGAATGTATAATTTCTGGAAAAATGTAATAGAATGCTCCATCTCTTATGTCCTTTCATAGCACCCAGTACAGTTCAGTCTCATACAGAATAAACAGTTGAGCAGACACGACCAGTTGTTGGCCTGCCATCCACTGGTCTGCATCCATCTATACTCGTAGAAGCCTGATTTTATTCTGGTGACAATGTGCTCAGTCCCAATCAAGGTCTAAAACAAGTATGAGCATCCTGTTCCCTACCTTCTGAGCCTGTCAGGAGGAGGGGTGACCTTGCTGATTTTTTTAAATGGACAGACAGGCCAGGCCCACTGGCTCATCCTATAATCCCAGCACTTTGGCCACTGCACTCCAGCCTGGGCAACAGAGCGAGAGCCTGTCTCAGAAAAATAATAAAGAAAAAAAGGGGACAGACATGGCTCTTCTCTCCATTTTTCTGCCTCTTTCCATCTTTGAATGTAGCCCTGAATCTGGAGTGCTCACAGCAGCTACCTATGATAATGAAGTGAAAATATGAAGACAAAATCAACATGGTTTGGTGGTTTATCTCTGTGGTCTTTCTCCCAAAGCCTGTAATCCCAGACTAATAATGAGAAAAACATGAGATGAATACCAATTGAAGGACATTCTATAAGATACCTGGCCAGTAATTTGTCTGGTCTTTGTACTCCTTATAACTGTCAAGGTCATAAAAAGTAAGAAAAGCTGAAAAACTGTCACAGCCAAGAGGAGCCTAAGGAGAAATGAGGACTGAATGTAATCTGGCATTCTGGATGGGATCCTAGAACAGAAAAGGGATATTAGGTAAAAACTAAGGAAATTTGAATGAAGTATACACTTCAGTTCGTACTAACATATCACATTGGTTCACTAATTGCAAAAAAAAAATACCATATTAATGTAAGATGTTAACAATTGAGGAAACAGCATATGGGGTACTGGGGACTCTGCACCAGCTTCTCATTTTTATCTGTAAATGTTCTAAAATAAAACATTCCTTCAAAACAAAAATAAACATGATAATTGGGGCACAATGACAGGGAGAGCTTAGGTGTCTGCAGACATTGTACAGCATCTGAACCAAAAAAGCAACTGCTTTCCCTTGGATTTCTAGTTTTGTAAGTAAATTCATCTTCTATTTTAAAATCCTATTAACTAGCTTTTCTGTTTCTTGCAGAAAAGCTGATATAGCACTATAAAACATTTAAATAACAGATGTATGTGTGGATGGATGAATGGATGGATGGATGGATGGAAGGAATAGCCTAGCACAATGCCTGGCACATAGTAGGAGCTCCTAGAGTAGGGGAAATGTTGTATGATTTTAAAAAATTCCTCTGGTCTTTGTATTGGATTCCTGGGAGGCAACATCTAAAACCCTTGAAATCTCCCAAGCTATAAGAGTGTCTTTATTATTCATGAGTCCCTTAGATCACATCTAATTTTATGCTAAAGTGATGACTCAGGATGGTGGCTGGTCACCAGAAAGACCAACCATGTGATTAGAGGTTTGGAGCTTTGAGGGAGTTGGAGATTGAGTTCAATCATAAGGCCAGTGATTCAATCAATCATGCCTGTATAATGAAACTCTGATAAAAACTCTGGACATCCAAGCCCAGAAAAGCTTCCTGGTTGGTGAATACATTGATGTGCCAGGAAGGTGATACACCCTGACACCACAGGGAGAAGGCATGGAAGCTCTGCGTTCAGGACCCTCCCAGCACTTGCCCTTGACCTCTCTACTTGACTGGCCCTGATTTATATCTCTTATAATTAAACTATAATCCTAAGTATAGTGTTTCCTGAGTTCTGTGTCATTCTAGCAAATTATAGAACCTTAAGGGGTCACAGGAACACCCAAATTTTCAGCCGGTTTGTCAGAAGTGCAAGTGGCCAGGGGACCCCAGAACTTGTAGCTGGCATCTGAAGTGAAAGCAGTCTTATTGGGCACCATGCCCTTAACTGGGATTAACTGACTGGGATTTCTAAGAAGCCTGCTTAGAGGAACATAACTTGATTGAGACAAACTTCTCCCACCTCCTTTTCCCAGCCTATAGTTGATGGCTGGAGCTCCAGGAGTCATCTTGGCCCATGAAATGATCTTGAGAGTAGAGGTCGTGTACTAGGATAATGAAGAATAAACTTAAGAGCCTGGGGCACAGATGGCACCATGAAGCCACCATCTCTAGGGGATAGCACCAACCCTTGATTGCTTCCTCCAGACAGCTCTTACAGAAGGAGGAATAAATTTCTGTCGTATTAAATCCACTGCTATATACTTATGTCCAGTATGGACAGCCAAACCTGATCCTAATTAATAAGGAAGCCAGTGTCTAACATAGAAAGAGTACGGTTGTAGGCACTGTAGCCCTGTAGTTAAGAGCTCTGGGTCCCAGGCAAACTTGGATCTGAATCCTAGCTCCACCACTAAATGGCTACTTGGCCTTGGTCAGGTTATTTAGCCTCGCAGCTTTCTCATCTGTCCGTGACAATAATAATAATAAAAGACCTATCCCGGCCAGGCACGGTGGCTCAAGCCTGTAATCCCAACACTTAGGGAGGCCGAGGCGGGTGGATCACAAGGTTGAGAGATGGAGACCATCCTGGTCAACATGGTGAAACCCCGTCTCTACTAAAAATACAAAAAACTAGCTGGGCATGGTGGCGCGTGCCTGTAATCCCAGCTACTCAGGAGGCTGAGGCAGGAGAATTGCCTGAGCCCAGGAGGCGGAGGTTGCAGTGAGCCGAGATCGCGCCATTGCACTCCAGCCTGGGTAACAAGAGCGAAACTCTGACTCAAAAAATAAAATAAAATAAAATAAAAGACCTATCACACGGAGCTATAGTAAAAACTAAGTATTATAATGGATACAATGGTAAGTAAGGTCAGTCTCTCATCTTTGCCTCCAGATCCTCCACATCCCAAGAGTCATGCTCAGTTCTCTGCCCTCCTCTTACTCCTCTTCTTTTCTCTCTTCCCCTTTCTTCTTTCTCCTTCCCTTTTCCTTTAGCTTTACCCTTTTCCCTCATCTTCCTATTCCTTTTCTTTCTTTTCTCGTCTCTTCCTACCCTTTCACCCTCTACAATCTAGTTAGTTCACCCCTTGGCCAGCCCTGTACCTAAAATCCCAGCTCCTACTTCATTTGCGGAATTCCAGCACCTCTCCTAACAACTGGGCCTCACCCGTGTAGCCTGCCAGTGCTTCAAACTCCGATTCTCCTCTATATTTGTTACCTATTGCTGTGAAGCAAATAACCCCAAAACTTATTGGCTTAAAATAACAAACATGGGTGGTCTCACATTTTCTGTGTGTTAGGAACCTAGACTCAGCTTAGCTGGCTGCCTCTGGGTTAGGGTCTTCATGAAGTTGCAATCAAGGCGACA